CTGACCTTCCTGCACGGAGCTGTGTGAGCACTTGGCGACTGCATTTGTGGGCGAGGAGCCTTTGGAATTTGGTGCAAGTGGCAGCAGTGTCCTCTCCCTCTCCGCTGTTATATAGCAGCTCTCTAGAGCATCAGGAAACTGTTTAATTGGTTTTCCTTTTGATAACCATGGTGTACGTGCCTACTGGAGCAGCAGTAATATCTGGCAGTACTAGTGGAGCCCTTCCATTACTTCAGGCCTGAGGAATACTTAGCTTTTTTAAATTACAATTTTTTAAAAAAGAATTTACTCCAAATTGGTGCTGCTTCATGGCTTTTCTGTGCTCTGACTGCAGTGGCAGAAACAGAACTAGCCACAGGTTTTAAGTGAAAGGTTTGCCTTTTCCAAGGGAAATCACTTTTCATTTCAATCTTAATCAAATTTTGAAATGTTTTTCCTCATGATTTGGGATGAAACATCAGCAAAAACCCTGTCTGGCCAGCCCCAAGAGTAAGTGTGAAAATAGAGCTGTTAACATGATAGATACTAGCATGGATAGCAACAGCCATTTCTTTTTTGTGTAATATTACAAGAAGCCCAACGCTGAAAACGTTTTGAGTGAACTGACACTTTTTTACACTTCGTAACACTTTTTACATTTGAGGTAATCCTACTTTTTTGCTTTAAGGCAGAAAAATATTACTTCCTGAGGTGACAATGAACATAATCAAGATCTCTACAGTTTTGCCAGAGCTGGTAAGGAGCCCACATCACTAGTACCAGGAGTCTTGGCTTTTTAACCACACTCACTGAATCGGTGGACAAACCATGCTGACTGTGCTCTTAACCATTAGCAACATGTCCTTTCAGAGTCCGATTTAAAACCCACAATCTTTCATGGGGAGGAGGACAGTTGGGGGTTGTCACTTTTAACTTCACCTCTGGTAGCAGTAATCTGTGTTTATTAGTTCAGAGTTTCTGGTTTCCAGAACTGCTGATGACCAGTAGATTGAGCCAGTGTAAGTTTATGTGAGAGAAGCTGCGTGCAGCTGGGCTGGAACAAGCCTTGGAGGAGGCAGCAACTCGATATCACGCTGTGGAGACTCAGCAGGCTTAAAGCTCCTGCATTTCATGTTTCTCTGTTGGATTTTGCGGAAGGAAGCTTATGTAAAGATAATTACACTGTGATGATTGAATATCATCTTTGTTCCTCATGGATCATACAATAAGTTCCTCATGGATCATACAATAAATAACTTTATTGTATTTTTGTACTCTTTGGTATCTGTATTATCGGCTTCCATAAAATTTATGCTGAATTACAGAAAGAAACTAATTATTTTTTTGTTTTTGTTGTTTTACAAGAAGCCCTTCTTCTGTTCCTCAGATACTTCTTGCCGAAGCATGATTCTTTTCTTAGATTAGCAAAATGCAGTGCAATTAAAAATTATCTGCATATGTATGGACATGTTCAGGAAAATATTGGGGGTCTTGTACCGTGTGCTTGCATGTAATATTTAAAACTGTCATAGCTAGTCCAACTGTTCTCACCATGTTTTCTAAGCTCTGCCATTCAAAATAAATTAAATTAAATTAATAATAAACTAATAGTTATAATATTGGCATATTTCAGTTTTACACAGTGGAACAAAAGCAGTTTAAAACTTTGGGGTCATTCTGCAATATCAAGATGACCACAGCTGTCTGGAACACTTGTATAGCAACTTTGCATGTCACACAACTGCATCATTGTGTTTGCTTGATTCTTTTAAAAAAAATTCATACCTGCCTTGGTTCCTCATAAATACTCTGCATTATTTTCTGACAAAAATCAGTACTTTCCTCTCATCCGTCAGTTAATCCAGTCTAATGTCAAAGCTGTACAATCTCAGCTACTGAAGGCACAATACAGTGCGTTGGCAAACATGTTGGAACAATTTCCAGTAATTTTGGCTAAGTCTTACAGGAAGTGGAAAGCAATACAGATTAACTGAAAAGGCTACACATTCCCTTAGATGATCTGGAAAATAAGACTGAACACCAGAAGGTAATTGCAGTGAGCATCCAGTAGCAAAACTTGAAATTTCATGTTCTATTTTTCCTTGTAGTAAGACGATATATGTTCTATATTTATTAGCCTCAACTGCCAAAACTCTGATTTCTATTCTAAACAAGCTTGTGTATCACAGCAAAGAAATGAAACTCTCTTCATGTTGCACAAATATTATTTGGTCTCACTAATTGGTATCCCCCTCTGGCCCCCATCTTCAGAGATAACATTTCAGTCTCCGTGATAATATCTTGGAAATAGCTCAGGGAGGGCGAGTTATTTACGTTAATCAGAGAAATAACAAATTTTAGCTATAGAGAATCTTAAGGGTGGAGCCAGCAATTGTTTGTGGAGTTTGGCTTTCCTGGGTCCCCACAGAGTGATTCCCAGTAGTCGCGGCCTTCCTTGTTTTCCCTTGAGCGAGGGCCTGTTATCGCGTCTCGCTCTGTAGCCTGTGAGAAAGCTGAGGCTGGGCTGTCTTGCGTAGGCTTCGCCTGGCCGTGTGAACAGATTACAGCATTCCACTTGTTAGTACGAGCCACAGAGCAGAAATGTTCTACTATTATGTTACTGGGCAATGATAAAGTTGGCAGTCTTTTTATGGTTAGGTCCTCAAAGTGGCAGTTCGTGTTTTAGTGATAAGGAGACAGAGCTTTGGCTATCAGACCCAGACTTATTATCTGTAACAGTGAACCATGGCTTAAATCCTTCCACAATGACAGGAACCCCATCTGGAGTGAAGGTTTCCAGAATCTTAAATGGGAGATACTGAGGCATTTTCCTTCCTCATGAGTCAAAGCAGAGTTAACCCCATTGTTATCAAAAATAAAAATAACCGGTCGCCAAGAGGAAGGATGCATTTTTATATTTAACTAAATCTCTTCCTTGATGTTAGAACTTTGAGTATAATTTTCAGACAGATCCGGGAGGACAAATTGGCAGCGTTACACTTAAAATCTTTCACTTGATTGTTTCAGAATACTGAAAGGAGCACTAATGAAACTCCCATGCTGCAATACTTAAAACTACTGTTTTTCTCAAAGTAGGTGAACTAGACAGTGTGTGTATGTCTTGCAAGATCTTTCTTTATGGTATCTAAATACAGCTTCTAGTTGTGTCTTGGGCACTGCGTGTGCACGTTGACGCCGAGCACCACGTGAAGACATATTTGGATTCTATTTACAGAATTCTTTGGGTTGCAGGGGTTAAGTGTAATCCAGATTATACAGTGTTAACATTTTCCCTACTGATATCGAAGTGTTCAGACGACTGGCAGGCTGACTTGTTAGGAAGGGCTGGGAGAGGGATAACAGGCTCCGACCTTGAGAGGCCGAACGGCCGGCCCTTGTATGGCCAAGTCCATATACGTGTCCAGCTGATTGGTTAGAGGAGCGGGATCAGTGCCGTGACAGGTGCTGGAGGAAGCTACACCTGTTTTCCCCATATGCTGGTTTAGTGATTACATTTTTGTGGGAGTTCCAGATACTGTGTGGGATATGCTGGAGCAAGCCAAGAAACTTGAGAAGGAATTACAGCTTATGGTGACCTGTGATATTAAAGAATTTCAGACGGTGTGATTCAATTTTCATGTAGTGCTTTCAAACTGAACTAGAAACAGTCAATATTTTGCATGTATATGAATAGCGAGGAAGTCTTGTGTCCTTTTTATTGTGCTAAAAATTAGTAGATGGTACATTATGAAAAAATGCTGATGAATCCTGTAGTCTAAACTAAAACATAGCTTGCTTTTTTAATCAGAAATTCAGTGTGTTACGGAAACATAGCTGCTGTAGGAAAACAAATGCAATTTTTTATGGTGCTGAGAATGTGTGCGTGCAGATTTCACATCTTTAGGGTTTCTAGTGTAAAATTTGTAGAATATAAATAATTTTTCATAAAAAGAAAACACACAACTCCCCTCATGCCTGTATAATCCTACTGCTGTCTTATGTACTGCTGATGTGTACCGGTTTAAAAATTTATATTGCTTTCCTTTTGAAACTTTTTTAAAACATTAAAGATTTTTCTATAGGTAGCATTTTAAATCTTGGTTTGTTATAAATGAGAACTTGCAAAGAAAGATTTCTGATTGTGTAACAGGGTGAAAAAGAAAAGCAACAAAGACTACAAATATCTTCTAAAATTTGGTCACAAGACCCATAATTCCACATCCTTTTCTTTTTCTTCTATAGCTTATCTGGAATGCCTAGATTGTAGACAAGTTTGGGTTTTTTTCCAGGGGATGTTGATGTGAGTTCTCCATCGAAAAACAGGAAGTAGCCCAACAAAGCAGTTGCATCAAGTTAGTCTAAAGGAGTCTGAAAAAACTTACATTTAGCAAACTAAGTAATTTTAGAGAGGGATTATGTAATTTCTTTTTACAGTTTTTTGCAGCTCTTGTTATCATGCAGGATGACAGAAGTGCAGGAAAATCCTGCCTTTATAAACTACTGAGACCAAGTATTACCTATATTAATGTACTGCAGTTATTGAATTCCATCGACAAGTTAGCCACTGTGTTTCTCAGAGTTTAACTGTATGCTCTTTAAATGTGAATATTAAAATTGGGATGCTAAAATCAATTTATGAAAGATCCGGTAAACTGGTTTTTAATTACCAGTGATGACTTTTAACTCCTTTGCCATAGCCTTGAATTTTCCTTGTATGTCAGGCAACTTTTCTCTATCAGCCAGTATCTAAAAATGGTTTTGCATGGGACGCTGGAGAGATGAAGTGGGTGTAGGTTAAAGTTACCCATGAGATGGCACCTGGGAGAGTCTGTGCCTCTGAATGAACCTTTTCTGTTTGTGTACTATGCCACTGTTTTGAAAGACTAAGCCTGTCTGTTGAACAGTGAGTTTTGTCTGTGAAAGTTTCGTGTCGTTTCAGTGGCTCTGAATGATTCAGTAGTGTACAAAACTTCTTGGCAAGTTAGTATGATTTGTATGTGAATTTTCCAATTGTATTTCAGACCTTAAGAAAGAAAGGCCTTAATGGTTGTGAGAGCCCTGATGCTGACGATTACTTTGAGCACAGTCCGCTATCGGAGGACAGATTCAGCAAACTAAATGAAGATAGTGATTTTATTTTCAAGCGAGGCCCTGTAAGTACTTTTATTTTATCTCTACTTTTTATTTGTTGATCCTTTTTATTAACTTCATTATTTAGGCTCTGAACAAGAAGGAACACAGAGGGTGCGACAGCCCGGACCCTGACACTTCATATGTGCTCACGCCACATACAGAAGAAAAATATAAAAAAATTAATGAAGAGTTTGATAATATGATGCGGAATCATAAAATCGCAGTGAGTACTAAAGTATGGTTTGTGCTTCTATTACATGCATGAGAATTTTCACGGTGTTTGCTTACCACTGAATACCACTGCAAAGACAAGAGGATGTAATGGTTTGAGAATGGTTTGAGAACAGAATATACAGTTTTGAGGAAAAATGAGATGCTGATACCTGATTTTGTTAAAATACATTTTACCTTAAAGAATAAGAAGATTTCTCTCTAGCTTCTCTTTTGCACTCACAGTTTTTCATACCTTGTGAACCTGAGGTGACGTTTCTGAATTTCAGGAGCCTAGCTGTATTGCCTAATCCTGCCTAAAATATTTTTATAAAAATAGATTTTGTTGTGGGATGTCGGATAGTTTATTTACATCTTGTAGCTCTTTATCTGTCTGTTGATCAACATTTTACAATATGTTACAAACAGGCAAACAGAATTGGATTAATTTTGTCATCAAATCAGTGGAATTTATTTTGCTGAAGACTGGGTGTAGAAAGGTATTTAGGTGTTTAAAGGTAAAGACTGGTGCACAATGGGAGTCTCAAAAGATTGGTGTCTTACTCCTGTTGAAATTCTAACAGATACTTCCTTGGACACTGAAAGACCTTTGAAAATTTTGTCCCAAGTGTCTAATCCATTTGTGGCCATAAGTCACTTAATTGCTTCAGAATGATATGATCTATCCCATAGTGTGATCAGAGGATCATTTTTCATTTTAGTGTTACCTAATTCAAAAATGGAATTGTCATTGTCTGAACCCCATATATTTACTGGGCAGATTATTCATGTCCTCCTCAGTTTCATATATCCACTTCAATTTTGGAGTCTAAGGCAAAAAGAAGATTTAGTGGAGAAGGACTCTTGGAAGAGAATTATTTGGCTCCAGAACTCAAGAAGTTTGGGGATAACAGTAGTGTAAACTTTGCATGTTTTTCATGCAGGTGTGCATGATGACATTTAATTTCCATCTATAAAACCCAATTAGTGTTGAGTATTACAGGGAAGTATTTTCTAAGAAAACAAATACCGGGCTCTGCCACAGCCTTTGAATTTTTTAACGTTGCAAATCTTGTAGCAATTAAAGTAAATGGACTGCCTAGGTAATCAGCATAGATCCTGGGGTAATTGAGTAGCATGTCCCCAGATGACTTGCTGATACTAGAAATTATTTCATTGTTCAGAGCAATGAGGCCACCTCTGGGGACTTAACAGCAAACTGACAGTCATGATACCCAGCATCACTTCTTTTAGCAAGTTCTTTATACTTGAATGAAGCCAATATCTTCTGTTCCTTCCTTATTCTGAAGCTTTTGATACCCAACATTTCTGTGTTGAGACATCTTCTTCAGGCCTCATCTCTCAGTACAATACAGCTAAACTGCTCTCCCGTGATTTTCTGTGGTCTTCATGAACAGCCTAAATTGTCTGTGTGGACATCAGTGTAAATAAAAAGGGCAACATTATTTTTTAGCTCTATAGTTCTGTACTTATAGCTTAAATTGGACCTGTTACGGTTCTATTTCCAGTACTTATGGGTCTGTATGTAAGAACACAGTTTCTTTTGTTCTGGTGCACTCATTACTGTCAAAGGATAGGAATGAGGCAAAGCGTGAAGAATTCAGTTGTAACCCAAATGAGTTACCATAGATGGGCAGAGGCAGCCTTTATTGTAAGGTGTGGGGGGAAGCTGTCATTTCTTAGTTCTATATCGAGAAACCTACAGAAAAAATGTTCCAACTGCTTCTAGCTTCTAGCATTGTTTTAAGCATACTTCAGGTATTTCAAGTTTAGTTTGAGTTAGTTGACAACCTGCTGTTTAAAAACAACCTTTTTCTGGTAGATACTAAATAGTTTCTTGAAGTAGTTTCCCCTGAAAACAAATAGCAGTACAGCTTGTCATTAGTTAGATACTGTGAATGATTTGCTAGCATTACGTCGCTATGCTTCATTACTTTTTCCTTCCATCTGTGCCAAAAATTGATGGTAATTCTTAGGAATGCTTCAGTAGGGACACTGTCATTGGCTTTCACTAGTAAGCAATTTTGTTTCTTGTAGAAAATGTATTATGCTCTTTTAATTAGTATACTTATTGTTGTATTTCTAATATTATCAAAATTGTCGTACAGAAGTATCATTCTAAGTAAAATTTAAGCCGCGCATGACAAAAGTGCACCTAAAAAAAAAGTATACTTGCTAGGTCATGAATGTTTGTCATCTGCATTTGACCTCTAAATCAAAACTACTATCTCTCTAGTCTGTCAATAAATATTACCGAATTTTTACCCTTAAATTGTACCTGTCATGGTTTTGTTTCCAGTAATTATGAGAGTTGTGAAAGAAAATAGTCCCTTTTGTTTCAGAAACTCATCACTGTCAAAGGATAGGAATGAGACAAAGGCTGAAGAAGTTAGTCATAACCAAATGAGTACCATAGATGGGCAGGCATCTAAGCTTTTGATTCAAACAGTTGTTGAATAACAAACATATACGCTTCAGAAAAATAGTTGCCTTTTAAATAATGCTGTAAAAATTAGAATAAAAAAAAAGATTTGCAAAAAAGCAAGATGGAATGGTTATTCAAGCACGGTTTTGTGGAACACAGCTCAGAATAATGGCAATTGAGATGTTTGAATTCAAATTACTGAACTTAGTGAATTTCTAAAGATCTGCTTATTTTTTTTAGTATGAAAAAGTTTTAGAGATTAGCAGCAATATTTTGTGAAGTTATTAATAGAAAATGTTATTACTAACTCTTTCTTTTTTGTGTAATAACTGACTTTTTATAATGTGCATGTTTATGCTTACATTTTGAAGGTGCAACAGTTCATTGATTTGTAGACCTGTTTAGCTTGTCATTGCTTTGTAATAATCCAAATTAACTGATAAATTTGTTGTATTTCTGAGTTTGCGAATTCATATGAATATCTTCAATTTTTTGTATTTGAACTTTGAGTATTTTAGAAGTTTATGAGTAATTCTTTTGGAACTGTATTTATATGATGTGTAAGAGTTTAACACCATATGCTACAACAAATGGATGTTTTAAAATTGTATGCTTAATAGAGTTTAAAAACTAACATAATTAACTTTGTTTTTTTTAAACCTGAGTAATTCTTGGCAAACTTTAATGTCTATTTTTATAATGTACTATTTCTGCAATCATAGTTAATGCTAATGTTGTTGTCTTGTGTGTATTCCTTGTCATCTTTCCTCCAGCCTGGCTTGCCTGCTCAGAACTTCTCGATGTCGGTTACAGTTCCAGTGTCCAATCCCAACACTTTAACCTACAGTAACCCAGGGAGTTCCCTTGTATCCCCATCACTGGCAGCCAGTTCATCGTTAACGGACTCGACCATGCTCTCCCCGCCTCAGACCACCCTGCATCGGAACGTATCACCTGGGGCCCCTCAGAGACCACCGAGTACTGGCAACGCAGGTAAGATTTCAGTACTGTTGTGCTTTCCTTTTATACCCTCTTTTTATGGTGGTGTTGTTTGGTTGGTTTTTTTTTTTTTTTTTTTTTTTTTTTTTAATTAACCCCCACACACCCCCGAACAAAAAAGTAACAAATTCTTAATGGTATCTGTGCATTTCCTGGTTTATTTTAACAGCTTAAGTTTTGAAGCGCAAAATGATATGACACTGTAATGAGGGCAAGTTAGTTTAATGCTCTGGCTTATTTTTGTTAGGTGGAATGCTGGGGACATCTGACCTCACAGTGCCAAATGGAGCTGGTACCAGTCCAGTTGGTAAGTGCAGTATCATGTCTTTGTTGAAAAATAGTATTGTGGCTTTAGTTTCACAGTTACTCAAAAGCAATTTTTTATTTGGACTCTTGAAAAAGCGGTTGTGGAAGAACAAAGGTACCTTTCTTAGTTGCCTTGTAATTGTCATCTTGTAAATTCTTATCAGGCATTTAACTTTTTACTGCCATGCCCTTTCTATTTCAGTAATATTTGCATTTTTTATTTTAGTGGTTTTCAGTAGTAGCATGCTGCTCTTGCTTTTGTGTTTCTCTGCAGGTGTAATTACAGCACTTTAAAGAGATCTTATGTTCACCAAGTTTCTTACTTTGTATGAAATTCACTGTGCTTACTAAACTGTTACACTAAAGACAGCTCAGCTGTGTTCTCAACTCTAGTATTCACAAGACCTGGATCTTTGGTAATGGTTGTGGTGCCAATCAAAATGAAGGAAATACAGACTGTATTGTTTGTATTGCCATATTGCTAATTATTTTCTAGCAGTTATACAAAGGCGGCAATAAATCTTGGAAGCTGATATCTAGGTTCTGTCTTAATTTTGGAAGATGATCAGAATTTCTTTCAAAAACAAATTGGAGATCTTGCCAAAAATCAAATTCACAGTATTTTTTTGGTCTTCAGTAAAAAGATATGACAGCACTTTTTCATTTAAATAATACTTTGTCTCCCGTAAACAAAATTATTACTCTGATAGAGGGCAGGCAACCATGGAAATTTATCATGCCACAGAAAGACAAAATAAAAGACAGTTCACCCACTTCCTTCATGGTCCTTCCATTCCTTGAGATGTCTTGGTAACTGAAGGTCAATTTTGGAATACACATAACTCTCCTTGGTGTGTGTTCATAGCAAGGAATTAGAGAAGCAACTGTTGACCTTTCAGTATTTGCCCACTGTCTGCTTAGTGTGGCAACTGGGAAAAAGTTCTTTGAAGATAAAGTCAGGCAATTGAATTTATGAATAAAAAATGCTGCAACTACAAGGCTGAAAGCACAGGATTGACTTTCCACTGTTCATCCATTCTTTGGCTATGTGCAGCAAAGATATGAAATATTAAAGTGTGGTTTCCATCAGGTAAGCAAGATTTTAAATGGCGGAAACTTCCTCAGTTGAAAAAAGATGACTATTTTTAGAAACTGTGGAGTTCAGATGTTGATTTCCATAGTGTTTCTCAAGTCAGACTAAATAAGTTTATTATCAAGCTGTTTCAGGCCTCTTTTCCAAAATCAGGCTTTAGTAACAGCAGCCTCAGATTTAAGACTACTTCTTTCAATAAGCAAATAAAATAGTTGTTTACAGCACTTGCTTTAGAATATTAAACCGTAGAAATACCCAGTCACAGCAGCTTGGTGAACATATTTAATGCAGTAAAATGTTGTCCTTCTTGCATTTATTAATAGTTTATGTGAAAAGTCAAAATGCATCGCTTATCTCTTACTTTCCAGAACATTGCACCCAAAATGTTATACATATACCCACTCGTTTCTAGATAGATTTTTCCTACAAGTAAAGCCGTGGCTATACAAGAACAGGGGAGCATCTAGAATTACCTCTAGCTAAACTCAAAATACCTAGTTAATGCCAGAATGCGAAGCCACAGAGTACCCTAAGTTGCCAGAGCTCCACTTTCTACTAGGATGTGGCATGGCTGCTTTTAAACACTTGTCAGGTGCACGGTAACCTTCTCGGTTGCAACCAAAATCAGGAAACCATATATAACCAGATGGAGTAAATCTGCTAACTTTTCAATTTGAGCTTGATAGCTGCCATTGAAGCGTGTACTGATATACACAATATAATGTCTAACGTTAATTATGTCTGCAGAGAACAATGGGTTTAGTTTTTTGCTACATTTACTGTAGGTTTCACTTTAAAAAAAATATTTTCTTCTTTTAGCTTTCAATCTTTTATTTTAAACTTCTTAGGAATGGAGAATTCTCCCATGGATATAGTTGTGAAAAGTCATGTGTCAAACTTGCAGCTCACAGTTTATAGGAGAGATATCAAAGATAAAGATGGAGTGCTGGCATACCCCTATTCCCAGATATTCTTTTATAGACAAAGGAAAAACCCAAGTCTTACTCAACATTATGAAGTTTTGAGCATTTGAGACTTTGTTCTCATTTCAGTGAAAGATACTTATACACCTTTATCTCTGAGTAAAAAGCAAATAAAGGTTATCTTGCATAGTTGGGACCCAGTTCAAAGAAAGATGTTGCATAAAATGGCTCGTATTTAGTTCATGAGTCTTTTTCTCAAGTCCTGTGTAACTTGATTGGAATAGAAATGATTTGCTTTAGCAGTCAATCTGCCAACTTAACAGTTTTTCTGTGGAAAATAACTTGAGTAAAAATATCTGCATGTTGTAGCAGAGAATGGTAGGTGGTTTTTTTATGTCTAGAACAGAAAATTTTGTGATCATTTTATAATACTGAGAGCTTATTTCACATGCAGCTGTCATAACTCTGAAAAAGCATTTTTATTTTGTAATATTTAAAAAATTTTACCCACCACATAAAAAATATTTGCTGAAAATTTTTACTTGGCAAGTCAGTTTTGAGAGGGGAAAAATGTCCGGCATTGTAACAGTGTTTGCTTTTGAGCTAATTTGTTTTTTCTGTTAACTAGATCAAATGTTTTGGAGCTAGAATTTTCATGATACTCTTGCCCATGGTCAGTGTTAAACTCTGTTCAGTTTGTGATGGGCATCTAATATGCTTCAGGAATCTCGTATCACCAGGATGCGTACAACTTGCTGTTTGTTGGCAACATCATCGTGACTTGAACACATGCTGCATGTCTATATTACTCCTTTCAAAAGGCTGTGGGTTCTAATTAGGCAAAGTGTAGCCTCACTTGCTGCGAGTACCCAAATACGGCAGAGAGTTTCTTTGACTTTGAACTGAAAGGACTTGATGGATGGATCACCTTCAAATTTGTCACGAGGTCTGCTTCACTATGTTCCAGTAGATTTGGTGTTATACCTTGAATCATCCAGAGGTTGCCAATGAAGTGCACTTCCAGTGAGGCTGTCCCATCCTTGAGGACTCTGAGAATCAGAAAGGCTCTAAAGAAGTCCCACTGTTACCCACTCTCTACTTTTTCTTCCATACCTTTCATATACGGCATTGGGCTAGAATCATGCAAAGGACCTGAGCTGGTTTTCATTGCCAAGGCTGCATGAAAACCATAAACCCCAAGACCTTTGAACTAAGGTGAGTCCCCTAAGTTCTCCCAGCCCTCGGTGATTTTGAAGTTGTTGGAAACAGAGATTCTTTGTGATCTTGCAAGGACACATTATCTGTCTATACATTTCTTTGTCAGTGAAGTAGCCCTTCTGATCAGTAATGCAGCTTATGGACCCAGTTAATCTTCTGGGAAATCATCTTTCCTCTTAAAATTTTATTATCAGGAGAATGGCTAAGAAAGATCTAGTCTTCTTGAGTACTGAATTTCTCCTCTTTGTTCCAGAGCTGTATCTTCTCTAATGTCCTTGCTAATATTCAGATCCTGAGAACGTGAAGTAACTTTAGGAATATTGAATTTCTTTGGAATAGAGCTGAAGGATATACCTGTTTGAAAAACTGTGTCTTGTGAACTACTGGATCTCTATTAAGAGCCAATGTAGATCATGTGTGATTTTTTTTTTTATTTTAATCCTGGCCTCAGGATAAAACACAGATGTGCAACTGACAGCTTGCACGCACCTGTAAACTGCTGGTATATTGCCAGAAAGGGATCCAGAGAACTGTGAAAGGCCACACCTATAAATGGTTCCCTTTGTCTCGAGGGCTTGGCTGATTGGGAGAGCTTTTTCGGCATGTCTGAGGATAAAAGCATCTTTCAGCTTGGTCTTTCACAAGTCTGAGTCAAGTGGCTAATACGCTGCAATTCTTACCAGTACACCAGAAGGCCCAATAACAAAACAGCTTTCTGTGCATACCTTTCTATTCATGTGGTTTTGTTTGTTAAATGAGAGACACCCCAATGACAAGTATCCAACTAACTCTGGAAAAACATACCTCTTGCAGGAATTTTGCTTGAAACTTGATTGATGCTATCAGCCTCTTCCTTAAGAAAACAGACTTTTTCTCTCCACCCTGACTCTCAAACTCACCAGCTTGTATCATCTGCATCAGCTAAAAGCTTGGCACTGTTGTTGTTATACAACCACCTTAGGAAAGCAGCTGTAAACCTTTAGCATATTCCTACTTAAGGTTATGTGTTGCTGGTGGTATTTCTAATCTGCTGTACTTTTTCTTCAGTGTGACAGGTGGTATCTGTCACAGGTAGTCTTTCACTAGACAGAGCGCCTCACTTCCTAGCTTGTACTGAAAGGGGTTTGACTTAAGAATGTACGTTCAACTGATGCTAAATGCAGCAGACCAAGGTTCTTGCTCTGTAATGTCAATATTGTTGGCATAATGTTTTGCCTTGCTCTGATCTTCAAGATTATGCAGGTAAATACAACAGTCAGTGTTCCACCATTCTCCAAGGAAGAGGTTGAAGGATCCCTGAAGAACGCTGAGAGCAGGCTATTTACTCTTACAGCTTCCAAGTTCTCCTCAAGGAAAAGGAGTACTGAAAGTGGACTGCAGACCAGCTGTTTCACAGGGTGCAAGCTGAACCTTTTTCCTTTGCTAGACGTTGTCAGCATATAACAAAGTTTGATCCATCCATCATCCTCTGATTAGATCAGCTCAGAAGAAATGACTGGCTGAAATCAGCATGAAAAACATGCTGGTAGAAGAAAGCATTTGAGGTGGTGGTTTGTGTGGTGTGGGGTTTGGTTTGGTTTTGTGTTTGTTTTTTTTTTTTTTTAAAATTGTAGCTATCTCTCCTTGGAAATCACCCATCCACATGTGGTCAGTTCAGCCCCTGAACTACCCTTAGATTCTAGCTGAAATTTCATATGTTGTTCTGTGTGTTCATTATCTTACCGTAATTTCTGATTTACAAAGAGGTACAAGACAATTCTGGTTAGA